AATTTAATTTCCCGCCCTCGATTCACAAAATCCGTGACCCATGTTTCGCGAATTCTGTGATCTAATTTCGCGGAATCCGCGAACAAGTTTCACGAATTTCGTGATTTAATTTCGCGCTCTAGATTCGCAGAATCGGTGATTTTATTTTGCGAATTTCGTGATCTAATTTCGCGGAATCCGTGACTTAATTGCGCGACATTGTTTCGTGTAATCCGCGATATAATTTTACGGAATTTGCGAATTAGTTTTGCGAAATCCGTGATCTAATTTCGCTATCTAGTTTCATATAATCCGCGATATAATTTCGCGACCTACATTCACAAAATCCATGATCTATTTTCGCGTATTCCGTAATATAATTTCTCGCCCTAGATTCGCAAAATCCGTGACCTAGTTTCGCGAATTCCGTGATTTAATTTCGCGCCCTAGATTCGCAGAATCCGTGATTTAATTTCGCGAATTTCATGATCTAATTTCGTGGAATTCGTGATCTTGTTTTGCGACATAGATTTGCAAATTTCGTTTTCCACTTTCGCGGAATCCGTGACCTTATTCCGTGTAATCCGCGATATAATTTCACGGATTTTGCGATTTAGTTTCGCGAAATCCGTGATCTAATTTCGCTATCTAGTTTCACGAATTTCGAGATGTATTTTCGCGTCCTAGATTCGCAAATTTCGTGATTTTCTATTGCGGAATCCGTGACTTAATTGCGCCATCTAGTTTCGTATAATCTGCGATATATTTTCGCGATTTAGTTTCGTATAATCCGCGATATAATTTCACGGAATTTGTGGCTTAGTTTTGCGTAAAATAATTTAAAAAATTTTGTCTTTTGTTAAAAATTTTAACTCGAAAAATTTTTGCAAAAAAAAAATTAATTTTAAAAACAATTGTTGGAGAAATTATATTTAAATTGTAAAATTGTCCTTTCATTAATTTTCTTGCACTGTTGTTATTATTATTATTTTCAAATTTATATTTCCTACAGGAAGATAGAAATTTTGAAATTCTTCCTATTATAAAGACATCATGATGAAGCAAGAAAATTCCTATTAAGATTTTCCGTGTACAACTTCATCTTGTTTGAAATTAATGTCATTTTCTTGCGATGTTACGATTTGAATGAAGGAAGAGTCATACAGAAGTTGTGTTCAGTTACCTCTTGTCTCTCCCTCTCCATTTTGACATAAAGCCATTGTATAATGCTGCGGAGAGAGAGAGAGAGAGGGAGAGATAGAGACCAAGAATCCTTGCGGGCCTGTACTAAATTTATGCAGATGCATGCCAGTAATATTCTAAATAAGTTGATACGCCACTACTACTACCCACTTCTATACCAGTTTCAACTAGCGTCATTATGATCGCGCTTCAGGCTTTCCTTCTTATCCCAAAGTCGTGCGGCTTTCCAACCCACTCTCTTCTCTCTCTCTCTCTCTCTCTCTCTCTTTCTCTCTCCTGCTAGGAGCGTCATCTGTACAACCCGGAACCTTGAGTAAAACCTTCTTTGTTTTCATAATTAATTTCACGCTTCTTCCGCTCGTTACGAATATACAAAAATTAAAGAGGAAGCGTCTTGTTCTATTTTTTGTTGTTGTTTTAATTGTCAATTCCTTGTGGAAAATAGATTAAGCGAACAGTGCAAATTCGAAAAATGGTATTTTTTTTACAATTTTACACAAAATGGAATTCAGTAGTAAAAGTCAATTTTAGTCAGGCAGAAATTTGAAAAAGTCTAGTAATTACAGTATAAGTAGTAAAACTATATTATAGTCAGACAGAACATTTTTAATTATTTTTTGTGTTACTAGAAAAAATCAGTTTTTGAGAGTCAAAAGTTTAAGTAGTAAATTTTAGTCAGACAGAAATTTTAGAAAGTACAGTAATTATAGTATAAGTAGTAAAAGTGTATTCGAGTCAAACAGAAAATTTATAAGAACATGAAATTAATGTTTCAGTAGTAAAAATCAATTTTAGTTAGACGAACCATGAAAAATTGTAAACAAAATATTAATTTGAAATCAGTAGTAAATGTCAATTATAGTCAGACATAAAATTATAAATTCTGAAGTTTAAATAAAAAAATAACAAAAAAATTTTTAAAGTACACTAAAGTAGTAAAAGTAGTTTAAAAAGTTGTAAATTTGACATTAGTAGTAAAAGACATTTTTAGTCAGACAAAGCATTGGAAAATTTTCAAACTAATTAATACAGTAAATTATTCCAAAATAAAATAAAGATTTAATTAATTTACTGAAATTTAATGTAGATTTCATAATGAGAAAAATATGTTTTTATCGATTATTTACACGGTTTAAATATATAGAAGCGAAAAATAGTTTTTAATATGGATTCAAAGGAAGTGACAGGTCGCTAATTTGAAATGCAGATATGTCGTTTACCATTTGCATGGTGACATAGGTTTCTCAACGTGTAAATCTCAATGTCTATACTATATTATTATTCTGACACTTTCTGAACACGTTTAAGTCACTTAGACGCCTCATATATATTATATATTTTCAAATAAAATATATTTTATCTCTTTCTCGAAATGATGTTTCTTTTGTTTTTTTTTTTTAAAAAAACTTCAGAATTGTAATATGAAAATTATATAGAATGAATAAATTTATTATTTAATAGATGTTATGCATAAATTTACATATCAATAATTTTAACTGACGTGTTCTAATTAATTTTTACCATTTTTACAATATATATATATTGTTGACATTAAATATATAATTATTGAATTTTTAAACATTTTGTTCTTATTAAAAATAGAAAATATCTACATTATTAAAAATGTTAGCAAATTATTTAATTTTATTAATGTGCAGATATTTTTTTAGAATTTTTTTTTTTTACGAATTTATAAAAACTAGAAGAATTGTTTACAAAAAAAAAATGTAGTTTTCAATTATTTTTCAAAAATTATTTTTTTTTTTTTGGAGGAGAAAAAGGTAATTAATTAAATAATGAGTAAAAATATTCCGAACACGTGAGAGAAACCTTTTGCTTTCAGTGTCTCTAAATTAAACGAAAACTACATCTACCGAAACACAGATTAAAAGGTTCTCTTTTACCCTCTAATCATGTACTTGCTATTACTATTTTAACACGCCTAGTTACAGTTCACCATTGGGTTTCCTGACTTTCTTCACTGTCTTCAAGAATTTTCAATTACGCTTTTTATTTGTGAAAAAAGTTACTTTTTTTTTTTGTTACCATGAAAGGAAAATATCGATTTGTTTTTCAACATTGAAATTTCAAAAAAATATACCTAACCAATTTGTTTATTGTAAAAATTATTTTTTTTTTTTTAATAGTAATTTAAATATTCTCAGTTTCGTTGGAAAATTTAAATTAAACTGAAACAACATTAAAAGTTCATAAGAATTAAATTTTCCGCTACAATAACTATGGAATGAATTTTCAGAAAGTGTTAATAATTTTTGATTACATAATTTCAACTTCAATTAATTTTAAACTCATATATGTAAAATGTAAATTGACTGTTAATATTTATCCGTTTTTCGGCTTTAAAAGAAAAAAGTCTTTAATTAGAAAAAAAAAATTCAATTTAATTTCACAAAATGATTAATTGTAAAATATGTCAAAAAAAAAGAAAAGAAAATTTCCATTATTTTTTCATCAATCGTAAAAGAAATATCAACATTTCGTTAATTATCCATAATGATATATAGTTTGTAAATCTCTATATATTTATACAAAAATTTATATATTTATATAGTATATTATCTATATATATACTAAATTGTATATAAATATACATAAATAAACGTAGTTTTGAAACTAATTACCTATGATTGATATAACCGATAGTCATCAAAAGTATAAAAGGGACGCGATATCAATGAGTGGAGAAAAGAGGAATGGTGAGAGAAAGGGGGAGGCGCGTTATGTTGGGAAATAAATCAGAAAATCAATTCAGTAAAGCCGTGTATCATAAATAGAATGTGGCTCATTCGATCCACGTATGCTGTGACCGAGCGCGCGTGGATACAAATGACATAATGTTTTAAACGGAAAACAAAAAAGAATTTTTTTTTTTTTTTTTTTGTCTGTGTACGTCTAATAAGTTCAAAATTTGAATTTTATGGTACAGTATACAATCAAGAGAGAAAAAAAATAGAAAAAGAAAACAAAACAAAAATACGCATTAGGACGATTTGAAATGTAGATATAGTATCTGAAATGAGATTAACTTGAATCAGAATACAAAATTCAATGGGGGGCAAAAAAGAATGAAATAGCGAAACTGTATAAATACATCCGACCCGTCTGATGATTCGGGTATTTCCCTTTTGTGAATTAATGCGTATTTCTGTTTACATTTTTTTTTTCTATCCATTCAGAAGGTGGGTTACGTAACTTTTTTTTGGGGGTTTTTTTTCAATTTTTCTTTATCCTACTTTCATATTTCACTGTACGGTGAAGCAAAAATTATTTGATTCAAATAAAATACTCTATTATCAAATAAATATAAAATTATTTAATAATTATTAAATAATTATTGAGTTAATTATATTGTATTTGTTTCAAGAAATTATTGATTTAAATAAAAATGAATTTAATTAAAAAAAAAAATTATTTTGCTTAATTAAATATTTTATTTAATAATAGTAAAGTGATAATTTGACTCAAATGAATTTTTTTTTACTTAAATTACTACACTGAAAAAAATTTTATTTGATTCAAATACCGGTGTATTTGGTTATTATCAAATAAATATTTACTTGAATCAAATATTTCAGTATTTAAAGCAAATATCATTTATTTGATTCAAATAAATATTTATTTGATAATAACCAAATACACCGGTATTTGAATCAAATAAATTTTTTTTTCAGTATAGTCATGTAAATTTAGAACGTGTAAAAGATTAAAACAAAAGATGAAAAAAAAGTTATGTAATCATCCCCAAGGGTATTTAATAATAAAATACATCTTGCATGATCGCGTGTGCTGGTACTTACGTGATACATACATGATGCCAGATTTGATGTTGTTCTCTGAAAGAAGTCTCGATGAGTCTCAAGTCATTCGTATTTATGTCACACACTTGAGAGTCTCACAACTGAGTTTTACGTCAGTTTTATTTGATAGCAAGTACCACAACAATATTATTTCATACTATATATTATTTCGCAATATTTAATAATATACTATTTAATTGAAAAAAAAACTTTGATTCAACTTCTGTTTCGACATTTGAAATTGGTTTTTAAATTTCATTCTATTTAAAATTAAAATGTAGATATTTGAATAATAACGAAATTTGTGAAATTATTTTCTAGATATTAATTTAAATATATATATATATGTCATTTATAATTTATCGATGTTATCCCTGATGTGCTTATAACCGCAATATGTCACAAAAATTTTAATATAAAATAATATAGCGTACAGATTGTCTATGAGAAAAAAAAATTATTTAAAAATTTAGAGATTTATATTTATAAAAGAAGAAAGGTGGGGGGAGGGGGAAACAAGCATGAGGGGATAAAATTTTCAATAATCTGGACGCTTTTCCGTTACGTGTTAAGTATATCTGACATTTTCAGCGTGAATTTCAATTTTCAACCTCTCCCCTTTTAAAAGGCTTCAAAAAAATCTTAGTGAGCAGATGCCTCTGACATGCGGACAATATTTTTATATATATCAATAATATCGATTCGCCCAAGGCTTCCGCTACATCTTTATATATATAATACATACGTATAGATATCTACCAAAAAGAAAAAAATTTATCAGCATTTATAAACATATTTAGAAAAATTTATTTCTTGACAGTCAAAATGTTTTTTTTTCTATTCGCATATACAAAATTTTTTCTGTACAATTTTTTTTTTCTTAAATTTTTCATTTCAAATAAATATTAAAAAAAAAAAAACTATCGTAAGGGGAATTTTTTTTTTTAAGGTAAAAATAACTAATTATTGAAAAAAAATTAACCCTTTCTACTTATAGTCAGACATGCAGGTATAATTTCAATTCTCAATGCTAATTCCACCAAGGTTTGCAAGATGCGACGCTAGCTTTAACCGCGCACGTAGATGCAAATTAACTTTGAGAAACAATCTTGCTGTTAACTCTCCGTATAATAGCGAAGGCATGGATTCCCTGTCCCCCTACTGCTATTTTGTTCCCATTCCCCCTCTCTCCCCCTGGCCTTGTGATATCCTTGTGTCTTCATACTGTTTCCATATTGCGAAATTGACTCGAAACTTACTCATAGTGCGTAAACAATGCTAATAACTTACACTTTCATACATAAACAAAAATTTCATTATTTTCGCTTAGAAGAAAAAAAAAATATATCAAATTTTTTTTATAAAAAATTTTATAAAAAAAAAAATAATTTTAAGTGAAAAAAATTCTTTTCTGTGAGATGGAAGGAAGGGGTTTCTATGAAAATAAATGATAATATTCCTTTGCAGTTGTAAATGAATATTATATTTTGCGATACTTATCATGTAGGCACGCGGTTATGAATAATGGTCATCCATTTACATTGAATCGTTGATAAATGGAGTTTTCTCCTTGGTTATCGCTCAACTTTTTGAGATGAAGGAGGGAGTTGAGAGATGGAAAAAAAGCAGGGCTTGCACCTTGAAAAATTCTCAGACACGGGTCGATAGTTGATGCGAGTGACTCGATTTTATATATATATATATATACATGATATCGAAAATGAGAAAACGTGTTTATTCGTGAATAACGTTGCTTCGCAAAGCCTGCGGCGAGACACTGTGCATTAAGAGCTACAATCACAGGCTTTCATGGGACTTAAGACGTAACGAACAACGCTGTTGCATCTCCAATTTTATTAGGTCATTGGAGATAAAATCATGTTCTCAATTTACTATTCGTGAATATATATATATATAATACATACAATACATATATAAATATATACATATATATTATATAAATATATTAATATTATTTCCAAATAAAACAAATTTATGCTATTGATACACAAGTAGAAAAATTTTTACAAGTCTGATTAAACTCGATATTTACTACTGATAAAATTGCAAAAACATTAAGTCTTACTAAATATTTATTTGTACTTCTTAAAAAAAATAAAATTTTAAAGAATGTCTAACTCAATATTTATTTTTCTACTGTTTTTTTTTTTGAAATTTATTATGTCTGACTAAAATCAAGTTGTACTACTGATAAAATTGGAATTTAGCAAGAATCACTAAATAAACTTTTACTACTGATATTATAATTTTGTAATTTAGTCTTGACTAAAATCAATTTGTTCTACTAATAAAATTACATGGAAAGTTTGATTTAATATTGACTTTTACTACTGATTTTCAAATTTAGTAATTATGTTCAACTAAAACCACTATTTATTTATTTTTATCCGTCACTAATGAAATTAGAAAAAAAAAATAAAGAAAAAATTTGAAATAAGAGAAAAATAGAAAGTCTGACTTAACATTTACTTTTACTACTGATTTTCCAATTTAGTAATTATGTCCAACTAAAACTACTATTTATTTATTTATTTTTTTTATCCACCACGAATGAAATTACAAACAGAATAAGAGAAAAATTTGAAAATAAGAGAAAAATATAAAGTCTGACTTAACATTTACTTTTACTACTGATTTTCAAATTTACTAATTATATAAATAAGGAAAAAATTTGAAATAAGAGAAAAATAGAAAGTCTGACTTAACATTTACTTTTACTACTGATTTTCCAATTTAGTAATTATGTCCAACTAAAATCATTATTAATTAATTTATTTATTTTTATCCACCCAAATGAAATTACAAACAGACTAAGAGAAAAATAGAAAGTCTGACATAACATTTACTTTTACTACTGATTTTCAAATTTACTAATTATATAAATAAGGAAAAAATTTGAAATAAGAGAAAAATAGAAAGTCTGAATTAACATTTACTTTTACTACTGATTTTTTCAATTTAGTAATTATGTCCAACTAAAATCATTATTAATTCATTTATTTATTTTTATACACCACGAATGAAATTACAAACAGAATAAGAGAAAAATAGAAAGTCTGACTTAACATTTACTTTTACTACTTATTTTCCAATTTAGTAATTCTGTCCAACTAAAATCATTATTAATTAATTTATTTATTTTTATCCACCCAAATGAAATTACAAACAGACTAAGAGAAAAATAGAAAGTCTGACATAACATTTACTTTTACTACTGATTTTTTCAATTTAGTAATTATGTCCAACTAAAACCACCATTTATTTATTTATTTTTATACACCACGAATGAAATTACAAACAGAATAAGAGAAAAATAGAAAGTCTGACTTAACATTTACTTTTACTACTTATTTTCCAATTTAGTAATTATGTCCAACTAAAACCATTATTTATTGATTTTTATCCTTCACTAATGAAATTACAACAAAAAAATAAGAAAAAAATTTGAAAAAAGGACAGTGAAAAAAAACTTACTTAAAAAAATTTGACTTTTGCTATATAATAATAAAGTTCAACTTATGTATAATTAATGAAAGATCTGCTAAAATATTTAGCGGGTAATGTTGATGAAAATGCTTTTTGTATATATACGGTGTCTGTGTGTATGTTTTAGAGTTTGAAATTTATTGTTTAATCCATTACTTCTTTGAATTATCTGCTCCAAGGCTGGTATTAAATTAAAGTGTTTACCCTCGAGGGTATATGAACGGAAGAGGAGGGTGAAGCGTGATACGTCATGCGGAGAGCTAGTAAACCGTAGGCATAGGATAATGTGAATCTATTACTCAACCTTCCATTCGTCTCATTACGACGCGCAAAGGATGGTCGATGGTCTGTAGTTGAGCCTTGACCCTTCTCTACTGTTAATCCTTTATCTTGTTTCTACACCTCCCTTCCCCGCATTATCCTTCTTTGCCAAACCACCCACCATTCTTCAAAAAAAAAAACTCCTCGACAAGATGCTGACGTTTTAGTTAAAAAATTCTTCATTAATTTACACTACTTTTTAAATAAATATAAAATAAAATTCTTTTTTTGCAAAAATTAATTAATAGTAAAAATTTTTATTAAAGTTTTTACAATTTTTTAAATACTAATGGTTTGTTTTTAATTCGTAATGCCAGAACATTGTAATTGAATAAATAAAAATTATTAAACATTTATATTGACAAATTTTTACAATGAGTAAAATTGTCTCATTTACATAAAATCTACTTGACTATTTATCATATAAATATTTATTTTTATGAAATAATTGTTATTTTAGTTAATATATTTATTTTAAAATATATAAAAATTATTGATTCGAATACAGTTTATTTGATCTAAATAAAAAATTATTTTATCCAAAAAAAAAATATTTATTTGGATAATAGCCAAAGTAAACGAAATAATTATTGTGTGGAAAAAAAAATATTTATTTAATAACAGCCAAGTAATCGATTATTTGAATCAAATAAAAATTTTTTTTTCTTAATTTCTTTTAATCCCACGCTAAATAATTGGACTTTTATTGAAATTTATATTTTTTAATTGAGAAATTCTTGACTCAATTGTTCCTTTATCTGTATTAATAATTTGTTTATTAGATGTAGGGTAGATAGCAAAAAAAAAAAAAAAAAAAAAACAATGGAATATAAGAGACGACATAAATTCATTGTTAAGTGTTCTACATTTTACGTTTGTTTCAAGTGTCATATAATCGAGAGAAAGAGAGACAGAGAGAATGAGTAACGATGGAGAAAAGTTGTCGATGGAAAATTTATAAGGTTCAACATTATAACGACTCCATAAAAATGATTATATAATAGTTCGAATTATTACACATACTATTATTATTATTATTATTACTTCTATTTAAAGAGAAAAGTTAAAAATCTGAATTATTTTTTTTCTCAAGTAATAAAAATAATAAAATAATAATAAAATTAATAATTGAACTAACATTTTCAATTAGTAAAACAAAAATAAATGGAAAAATCAAAAAAAAAAAAGATTTTCACGTAACTTTTAGA